GGGAAAGATGAAAATCTTTAGCAAAGAAAGCATCCTGAAGGGAGGACATATATATTCTCAACTGTGGCTTACATTCAAGATAGTAACATTTTACAAAGAGATTTCCAAAGAACTAAGAATGATCAACTGAGGGAGGTTAGCTAAAGAACAAAAGTTTCGTCATCCAAATGATGGAGATACATGATGACATTTACTCCAGGGTAAAAAGTAGAGGGGACAAACAGCATACAGCCTTTTACTAGTATGTCATCTTATTTGGGTGTAAAGTTACTCCTCAAAAAATGAGAAGTGAATCAGTGAAATCATGCTGCATCTCAGCTGTATATCCGCTTCTCCAGCCTATTTTTTCCACAGTAAACTAGATCCCCACTGCTTATTGATTAGGAGCTCTAATGTCACCTAGCTTGGAAGAGCTGATCACCTGTCTGCTCTTCACTACAAAGCAAATCCAGGGCATGTTACTGTAGTAATTGTGCCAAGTGTCCATACCAGAGATGAGACCCATCTATTCGAGTCCATAGGGTACATAAAATTCCCTTTTTCATTGTGGCTGGTGAGCCAGAGTACAGTGCGTTTTCTCAGTCCACAGCAAATCCACTAGCAATATGAATAGCAGATTCACACAATGAACAAAGACAAGGTGGCCCCTACACTGTAACTAAAATTCAGATATCACGCCTCCAATAATATTCTGTACTTCTATCAGCAAGTACAGGTAGGATCCCAACTATATTTGCCCCTTCCCAGTCCTCCTCTGTTTCTTTTCCCTTTCTGTGTCTGCCCCCATCTTCCCTCAAGTAACTCCCCACCAGCTAGGATTTACTTTCACCAGCTTCCTTGAGCACCTAATGATGAATAGTGGCAGACATGGAGCATATGCCTATTAACTTTCTTATCAAGGAATGCAACTCACTTTAGTCCAGATGTCACCTGTATTCTAGTTGGCATCACCTCTCCCTCTTTTGAGGTCAGTAATTCTCTAACAATAATGAGGCATGAACTCAGATTACAAAAAGTTATTTATCCTAAAGCGTATGCCCCAGACTTCCTGAAAAAATGTGCACCCCTCATTTTGGATCTATCCAATATCTGAGCTTCTACAACCTCAAAGATATAGCTAGGAGCTTTATTTTGCGCCATGTGCAGAGTCAGTAGGACAATACAACACCGATTTGTATTTTGTCCAACTGGGATGCTCTCCTATCATCAAGATCACTAGAAAATTACATGTTTGAATAAAGGATTAGAGGTTGTAAATTCTGAAAGTATCACTGGGACCACATGATTTCATCATGCGAACTGAATGGGCAACACTTTTCTTTTAAATGCAGTGCTCCCAAGCTAACTATATTGTTAATTACTCATAATGTCACTTTAATTAGGTACTTGGGTACCTGGAGCTAACAAGCAATTCCCAAACCAGTGATAAAAGCAATGGTGTTACTGGAATCAAACAGCATTTCCTTATAGCCATCTTGGACTGGCACAGGAAATTCTGTACTGAGAGCAGGAAAGGGCTGCTACAAACAATCTTGGCAACATAACAGTCGCTGGTGCTAAAAGATCTGGGAAGAAATGTTCCCTGGGATGAAGGGACCACAATAGAGGCAGAGAATAGCCCTCCTAAGTCCTTGCTCCAGGCTGTGTGTTTAGCTTTCCTGTTCTGGACCACCTGGTAACAGAGCACTCAACCACACCGAGAGAGAAAGACATACAAGAGCTGCCTCGATTGGTGCAGTCTCTACATAGGAAGACTAGACCCAAATGAAGAAAAAGCCAGTTAATGTTCCTTCAGACTATGCTCGTCTGTTTATTCCACAGCGCCTCAAAAAAGGCCAGCTCACTACACAGACAGAAGTGCTGCACTGCTGACAAGGAGGTGGGGTGGGCCTTGCTGAAGTATTTTGGTCCGTGGTTCTACCTTTGCTAGCTGGGAGTTGGCAGCTCCATAGACCATTGATGCTGTTTCGATTTACTTTTCATGTAGGCAAATTGATACACACCCTTGCCTGCCTCCCACCATACCCCAGACACTTTTCCAGCATTTGCACCATTGATAGGTCCCAAACTCCAATAGGACAAAACTCCAAGTAATTTCAGCGATAATTTGGAGTGTATCAAGACCCCCCACCCACAAAAAAAAAAAAAAATCCACAGGAATTCTTTCTTTCCCCACTGAAGGGCATTACAATCACCTCTGGGCTGAAACGGTCACCTAAATAAGAGCACAAAACCATGAGTGAGGCAATGCAAGACCACAACCAATTTTAAGTGCAGGGGGCTTTTACACAGCAAAGAAAGAGTTACCCCAGGACTCACCAGCTCCTACAGAAGGTGATATCTGGATCATATTTGCAAGCGGCCAGCATCCTGGGTTTAAGACATATCCTTACAGCTGACCCACCCTACCAGCAGTGTCCCCATGCATCGTTTCAACAAACGTTGAGAGAAGAACATCCCATTGCATAGGAGTTTCTAATCTTTGTTCTCTCAGTCCTAGACTACTAGGGCAGGTGGTGACACCAAGACCAAAAAGTAAAAGCTTTTACCACAACTAATGGCGTTGCAAAAAAATTGCTGTATTTTGAGTTACTCAAGGGCAAAACATACACACAGCCCAAGATTCACAAAAGGAGTGGACAGTTATATGGATATGAACAGTCCTGCTTATATTAAATTGGGATAAGAAGTCTCTATACAAAAGGACAAGTTCATCCTACGTGGCCTTAACGCCCTGCCTAGCACTAGGATTTAAATCTACTTGTAGGCAGGTTATTCCGTAATTGATAGTTCTGAGATTTCATGCCTTTTCTGAAGCAGCAGATCAGGGACTGCTGATGATCTGCTGCTCCATCTACTCATGGAGTCCCTTGTGCAAATGGGCCATTTATTTTGTTCCCATATAATCAACCCCTATTCCCCTGGGCAGGGGCAGACAAATTTGTGGCACAGGCACACTATGTATAGCATACCGTAAATTGGGGAGGGGGCAGGTGACAGCAGCACAGTGGCAGATGGAACATGGAGCAAAAAGCAGAGCAGCAGATCAGGCAGCAGAAAGGGACTGGCATAACACTCGAAGAGGGCACAGAGCTAATCTGTGGCACATCTGCCACAAAACGTTGGCTCCCACTGTCCTTGAGTTTGGACATATACATTTGGAGCCGTTTCCAAAAGGTACCAACGGTTGTAATTGTTACATAGACAAGCCAGGATGGCAAATGTTTCAGAACCGTTCCCATTTTAATACAGCTTCATCCAATATTAAAGCTGGACCAGTTTTGCTATACTTGTATCATTCACCTCCTGTTCACACACAGTAATTAGAAACTGATTGCTATTGCCCTTCTGAAGCTGCTCCAGTATGCGTGTCCATAACCCTAATGAATCACCTACTTTGCAGTCTATAACAATGCTTCCCTTTGATATCTTCCAACCAACTATTGACCAGTTCCTGCTCTGCTTAACTTGCAAAATCTGATACGGTTCCACAACAAGACATGATAAAATTAGGTGCATTTAGTTTAAGCCACAGGATTTCTAATAGGATAAAATCATCCTGGTAAATCACTTGCAATGCCACATATGCAAATCAGATGCTTGTCCTTTATCAAAGGGTTCTTATGAAACTGTTGTTTCCAAATGCAGTAGCAATTTAAAATTCTAGCAATAGAGTTTTATCTTGTTTTAGATACGTTTTCACGTACTCTGGGCACGCATTTTAAATAAAGCACATCACAAAAGGGTAAGATTATCTTAGCTCAAGTTTCCATGCAGTTATTTTGAGGGTAAAGGAAATGCCATTCAAGGCAGAATTGTTCTAGCTTTAAAAACGCGTGCTCTTTAAAGCAGCGTGCAAGCACACGCACATCACTCGACACATTTCAAATCAAATACAAGACAAGTTTATAACGCCCGGCTTGGAATTCTGCCTTTGCATTTGTCCTTTGAGGTCACTAGAAAGTCTTAGTGGAATTAAATTGGATTCCATTACATGGTTGATTTATTCAATGTTTTTCCAATCAATTTTACTCATTTCCAATTGGCTGAAACAGGCCAGTGCAAAAACTGTGCGCGCTATTGTTTTAAAGCTACCACCATAAGCAATCAATTTCCTGAAATGCCATCTTGCTACTTTTATTCAGTTTCCACATTTAAAGAAGAGTGTGTACTTATTCAAGAAGCATCTGTAAAACATTAACTAAAATCCTGCCCACGAGCTAGAATTTTATTCTCTCTCCCGAGAAGGGAGCAGCTGCATCACTGAATCTGCCTGGATTCCTGTAAAACAGACTTGCGACTGGATTCATTTCACTGCCAATGTCAAACATGCACCCGGAAGGGATGAAATTGAACCTGAATAAAAGTCTATTTTCAATGCTAATGCTGTCAGGACTCAAGGGAGCCACAGGAAATTCATGGAATGCAAGATGCCTGACAGACCAAGACAAAGGGTAGATAAAAAGGACAAGATATATGGTGCCAAGGTTTTTTCCCTTCTTTAAAAAATGTAAGTAGTAGGGCAATTATTGTAGGCTGATTTTTTTTCCTTTAAGTGCTGCTGCTTTTACATGGAAGCGGAGGAGAAAGTGCAGAGCTGGAAGATGCATTCACAGTCTACATATTTAATAGTCTGCATAAATAAGACCTTTCCCACTCCTCCACTGTCACACCTGAACCTTCCATAAATAATCTATTAAAACTTCATAGGCAAGCAAATACTTAGGAGTTGAGCATCACAAAGTCCTCACGTGACCCCCAAAATTTCATTTTTTTTCTGACCGTCAGACTATATGACAGAGATTGGATAGGCATCTGGCTGGGGTTACTTAACCCCAGCGCTTTTTCCTGCCTGGAGCACGGGGTCAGACCTGATGATGTGCCAGGTCCTGTCCAACCCTAGAAATCTATGCAATTTATGACCTATCTTTTGGTTAAGAACTTTAATTATGGAGCCTCAGTGAGGGATAGAGGGACC